GTTTATCGATTGATTGAGCTCGGTTCGAGGTAAGTGGCTTGCCTAACCTTGTGTGGGGGAACTCCCCTTAGGTTTTGGTAGTGTTGTGATATGTGAGCTCCGTGTACATGGAGGTGATGAGTGCGTACACAGGCTATTTGTGGTAAAATCCGATTTTTACTAATTAATAACCTGTTTCTTCTTAATTGAGATATACCGGCATGTGTCTTAAATGTTTATCTAAGCTCTGTGCTGTTGATTTTCAATTTTTCCCTATCTATTTTTATACTCAAAATATTCTCAAAATAGCATGTACATGCATATATAAGTATGCCCAAGAATTTTGACATTTTTTTCTAATTTTTAAAGCTTTTTAAAATCATTTTATTATTTGTTTTAGCAGTACAAAATCCAATAATTATTCCCAAAACTATTATTTGGGTGAGTAATTTATTTCCATCCTCATATTTACACCACAATATAATTAAGGTGATTTTATTATATTTTTATAAATTTATTTGATATTTTTAAAGCTAAATGGCATAAAATTGCAATTATAGCCTATATTACGATTAATAGCATTTTACAACTATAAAATTACTCCCAGTATTTTTAGATTAATGTTTATATATTATTAATTAGTTCAGTGCTTTCAATTTGTTTTTAAAATTATTTTAACTATTTTAGTTAAATTAAAAAGGGAAAATTGGCTATTTAATATATAGCCCATCTGCATTTCAATTATAGCCACATTAATCCCCTTAATTGACCCAATTCCAGGCCCAATTCCGGACCAGTCCAACCCAATCCCCTAACCCGTTTAAAGCACCCGACCGGATTCTATTTTAATCACAGCCGGTGATCTTTTAGATCAACGACTCACACGCACCCTTTCCATTTTTAATCTACCAACACCCCAACCCTAAATTCATTTCCCTCTACCCGCCGCCCTTGAATCCCCTTCCTCTCCCATTCTCTCTGCAAACCCTAGTCGCCGCCACCCAAACTAACCCTAATCTCTTCGATTCTCGCCGGAATTCATGGCTTCTCAGGCCATGGAAACCTCATACTTGCCCCACATTGCTCCTGTATACCTGGTACTCGAAGGTTTGAGGCTAGACCTCAAAGGTCTCCACTCAGATCTCCGCCGACTTGAGATTTCTGGTCATCTCCGGCCTGGCTCCGGCATATCTTAGCCTCTTGAGCCTATGTCCAGCCTTATCCGACTTAGATCGGACCTTTTCCAAGCCTTTCTCATTCTAGGGTTCACCTGAAACCCTAGCTGTTCGAGGTTTTTCTCCGATTCTCCTCAGATCTGTGTGTATTCATGTTCTATTTTGAGTTCTTGAAGGATTTCCCCAACTTATCTTTTAAAATTTTTTTACTTTCAAAGTCACTTCTTTCTGATTTAGGGTTTCTGAAAAATGCTTAAGTGTTTTTCCAACTTTTCTTTTCCCTTTCTTTGTGTATGTTTGTCTCTGCTATGTTCTTATGTTCTTTTTTTTTACACATGTTCTTCTACTATGTTTGCTATATTTTGTTCTTCCTTCTACCAAGTTTCTATGCTATGTTTTCACATGCTTTCCCACTATGTTCGGCTATTTGCCTTCCACTATGATCTCACCTACTGTATTTTCCTACCGTGTTCATTAAGTGTTCTTATTATTTTTTTTACCTTTTAAGTTTCCTCTAGAATACCTGCTTAAACATGTTTTCCTCTACTGTTTCTTTTGCTCTCATTATGTTTCGAATTAAGTTCCTTACTCTGTGTACTTTGAACTTTCTACTGTATTTGCTTGTTCCCTCATTTTTGTCTTCTTTGCATCTGAATTAAGTCAAAACCCTAGGATTTTAGGGTTTTTTGGCGAGTTTGGTCTTGTGTGTTTAGACCAGGTTTCTGTTTGAGCCTTAGACTATCTCAAACTCACTTTGGGTCCATGTATTGAATTCGAACCCTTTTGTGTATGACTCTGGACTCTTCTATACTAGACTTTTTTTGGATAGCATGACAGTTCTTTCATGTTTAAACGTGTCTGCATGTTTTATATGTGATGAACCTTTCTTCAAAAGGCTTTCCAACTTGTGATTGAATCAGAATCCTTTTTTGGGGGTGATTGATTGTTACTGCTTCTTTTTAATTAAGAGCCTCTCTTTACATTTTTCTGACTTGGTTCATTCATGAAAAATTTTCGACTCATTATTGCTTGGCTGTCAATTGATTTCCTTTTCTTAATTTGCACAACCGTGTACGGTCAAACCCTTTCCTTAAATAACTAGTATGTATTTACCCTTCTTGCACTACTTTGAAAAGTGTTTAATTAACCTCTATCCTTATTTACTTTTCCCGTTTGAAATTAGAATCCCTTAATTAAAGGGAAACCTTGTGTGATTGATTTTCAAACTATTTTCTTACATATTTCTGCTTCTTTTCTGCACTATAAATACACGACTCTTAACACAAAGCACACACGATGGGAATAATCCTCCACACACGATTAAGCACACAAAAATCATAACTCTCCTCTAAATTTATACTCTGGCTTCTTGACTGCACTTTGGCTTTCATAAGGCTACTGTTTCTCCTTACTTGCTTCTTTGAACTGGTATGTCCTAAAATTAATTTCAGTATCTTTCTAATGTGTTTGTTTATAGTCCCTGTATCCATGCCTGCTTTCAATCCTCTGCAAAGTTAATTTTGAAGTACCTACATGCTTTTTCCTGCTCTTTCTTTGCTTCTTACTGCTAGTAGACAATTGCTCCCATACCCCATTCCCCTATGTGTGCTGAGTTAAGGTATGGCCTGGCAGCATCCCAATTGCTGTCCAGGGCTGAACCTGACCTTCAATAAGGTCTTAACTCCTCAATTCTAAGGCTGACAGGCTGGTCAGGGGTGTGCCAGCATCCCAATTGCTGGGCATGACCACCAGCCTGCCATGGCCCCCCTCCCTAATTCCCTTCAATTGCACTTACACTCACTTCTAGTCTCTAAGTTCTGCCCCCCTCCTATGAGCCTTGCCTTGGGACCTTGAGTTCCCTCTGAACTTGGACATTTGAGAGCTGGCCCTTCCACACACGCACTATAATCTAATTTCCGCAATGATATTTGGGGTGTGAGCATTGCCTGGAGCTCTTGAAGTTCCCTGGAACTTTGACACATCCCAAATAAGAGAAGGCTTTGGAAAATCCGATCCTGGAAGTTGGTTTATCTCATATTATTAGACTCTGAGTCTGGATTAGGCTGATTAGATGTAGATGTAATCACTGATAATTTTTATTCTTTCCTCTGATCCATTTGGTCTGTAATAATTTTTGTAATAACTACTGGGGGTGTATAGTGAAAGGGATGTGATTGAATGCATGCAAAGGGGTGGATACCATGTTTTAGGATATTTACTTTCAAAATTCAGCATCTCATGTAGATACCATGTTTTAGGGATATTTACTTTCAAAATTCAGCATCTCATGCAGATACCATGTTTTAGGGTATTTACTTTCAAAATTCAGCATCTCATATAGATGGTATGTTTGTAGAACTTACTACTTTCAAACCTCTGCATCTCACATAGATACCATGCTCATAGGTTTTCTGCATAAATACCATGCCCATAAATCGTTGCTGAAACTCTGCATATCATATAGATAATATGCCTATAGGACTTCCTGCATTTTGCATATGCATCTGTCACTAGGCAAATCTGCTTATAGGATTTAAAATAACCAATTGCATATAGATGACCTGCCCATAGGATCTCTGCATGACAATAACAGCGATAAAATCAGTAACGCCTAGAAAGCATGCCTATAGGAGCTATCAACTAAATCTGAATCGCCCACTCGCTCCTAAGTCTAAAATCAGTGTTAATTTGTTTGAACACTCGCAGAGCTTACAACCAACAATTCTTTTTTCTTTGCAATCAGTTTATTCCTCCGTCCCTGAATTAATAGATATCATGCCTATAGGTCCCGTTTAACACATAGGCAAAAGGTTAAGTAATTAATCAACTATGTCAGTCTTCGACAACTACATCTAAGCAGGACTAATTCGGACTCCTTATCTGGGAAATATGCGGTAAATCAACCTATCCTACGCTTTAATTTAGTTCAGACCAAATCAAGTATGTGTAAGACATGCTAAACAATTTGTTTCTTAAAATGAGGAGGCCTGTTTGAGCCCTTAATTGCTACTTGTTCCCTTTTATTGCATTATGTGTTTTGACTGTCGCCCTAGATTTTTATCCTTTTAAAATCTGAAAAGCCAAGCTCTCTCCCCTTTAGGATTAGTAGTCCCAAATGCCTCCGGGACTGATAGGTGGGACGGGTAATAGCATGCAGTAGGTAACGATACCATTCCGCGCTTAACACCTTAACGGGGTGGGAAGGGTAGACATGGAGATGATGATCACGCGATAAGACCATGCGTACGATTGGCTACCGGTGTTGTGTGGATGATCCATGTGTTTTACAAACCTAGGACCCCTTTCCTTTATATAACTTTGTTATTATCAATAAAACTCTGTCTTTCGTTTCAGTCACCAAATTCTTCCTCAACTTCCTGCACTATTCTTTTAAAATTTATGTTCACTCACTTCTTTGTTTAATTTTCTGCACTTGGACATTCCTTTAAACAAGTTGTGAGACCACCTAGATCTTAATGTCAAACATGCTTGTCAACCATTATACATACCTGCTTGCAATCTTTATGTGGAATTATTTGTATGCTCGTTTGTATTTAAAGTCACAACATAGCATGACCGGGAACCACACTAGTGGATCTTGAGGGGTGCCTAACACCTTCCCCTCGAGATAATTTCTAGCCCTTACCCGAACTCTGGTTTTCCAACTCAAAACTCGTGGTGTCCTAATGCACTTAATCATTAGGTGGCGACTCTTCAAATCCAAAAACCCAATTCCCAAACGGGAATAGAGTTGTCTTCCCAAATGTCGTAAACCCGATTTCGCGAGAAAAAGGGGGCGTCGACAGTCCCCCGCCTCTAGGCGGCTGGTGCTAGAATCATAGGCTGCTAACCCTGCTGTACTGCCTTGCCCCTAAGCCTGGGGCAGGTCCTCTTCAAGTGGCTTGGGTCTCCACACTCGTAGCAAACTCTGGGCACCATAGCCTGCTGCCCGAAAGCCTGGCCCTGATGGCCTGAATACCTACCGGAGGAACCAGAAATGGCTGGAGGACGGTATGAACCCTCTGGCGTAGCACTGGAATAGGAGCCAAAAGAACCCTGGGTACCTGAATGTCCACTGGAGGAACCCTGAATAGCTGGCAGGCGATAAGAACTCTCTGGTATAGCACTAAAATAGGGACGCGCTGGAGCACTCTGAGCCGGTGGTGGTGCTGAATGTGGGGGCCTGTTGGACTGACCCCTACCATACTGACCTCTACCCCTAGTCGGGGCACCTCTGAAGTCTCCATAGAATTGAGCCCTCTTGTCCTGCTGCGCCTGCTCCCTACCTCTCAAACGGTAGCCCTCAATCTTCCGAGCAATCTCCACTACTAGCTGATAAGAAGTCCCCATCTCCACCTCTCGGGCCATGTTGGCCCTAATACCCGAATGCAACCCTGCAACAAACCTCCGCACCCTCTCTGCGTTAGTAGGAAGTATCATCAATGCATCGCGGGATAACTCTGAAAACCTCGCCTCATAATCAGTCACGGACATCTGACCCTACTCAAGCTACTCAAACTGGTACCGCAGCTCTTCCCTCTTAGAGGGTGGAATATACCTGTCCAGAAATAACTGCGTGAACTGACCCCAAGTGATAGGAGGAGAGCCTGCGGGTCTGCCAAGAACATAAGACTGCCACCATCTACGGGTCCTGCCCTCAAGCTGAAAAGTGGTGAAGTCAACTCCATGCGACTCCAATATCCTCATGTTGTGCAGTCTGTCCCTGCACCTATCAATGAAATCCTGCGCATCCTCATGACGCTCACCCCCGAAGACAGGAGGGTGAAGTCTAGTCCATCTATCCAACAGCTTCTGCGGGTCACCATCCGCAGCTGGTCTGGGCTCGGGCACCACTGCAGCAACTGGCTGAGCCCCATCCGTGGGTAGTGCACCCGGAGTCTGATATACTGCAGCTACATGACCATGAGCCTGGGCAGTAGGGGTCTGTGCTCCCCCTCCTGCCTGTGGTATAGCTGGATCAGCTAGAAATAAACCAGCCTAAGTCATGGTGTCCATGAACCATAGCATACGGCCCATGACCTCCTGAAAACCCGATGCTGTCATAAAGTCCGCCGGGGTAGGCTCAGCTGCGGGCACCTCGCCCTGCTCCTCAATAGTAGGATTTCCCGGCGGCTCCGCTGGTGGTGCTACTGGAACAGCTCTGGGATGCTCACGAATACATGTGTAACTGATTTATGAAATATGGAGATGTGATGGTTTGACTCGACACCCCAGCATAGGCTAGGGATAGGCCAGTCCTGTCTGACTCAACTGCGTGTCTTGGGGGCTTCCCCCTTTTGTCTTTATCTCGGCCTTTAATCGGACCACGACAAGCTTCGAAGGAGTGGACTAAGTTGTGCCTTCATATCATCGGGGTCTTGAGATATCATCCTGAGGTGGCTTCATGTTCTCGGGGTCTCGAGGTACCTCCCCGAAATGGCTTGATGGCGGGAAATCGGGCCCTCTGATTTCACCACGTACAGATAGTCTCCGCGTTTCTCTGAATGAAGCGATGGGAAATGGTTATGACCATTGACTCCTCGAGCTCCTCATGGCGATAGTGCATTGGCGATCCGCGTCGTGGCGCAATCTTTCGTGATAGATGGAATATCTCATAGACTCCTGCTTAATATTCTGCCACTTCCATTCTTCAAGGTAAAAAGTGCTGCCGTCGATTTGGTTTTTCAAGGATGCAATAATTGCATTCGTCGGCCAGTTTTCCAGAGCCTCGACCACCGTGTTGCTGCCCCCTATAAATGGGGTGCCTTGTCGTTGTTTTTCCTATCCCAGTATCTTTATCGGCACGCTTTGCCTATTCCTTCTTGTCATCTTCTTCTACCTTTGAACATCATGCTTGGGGCTTATAGCCTCAAGACCGTTAGGAGGAGTTCCCTTAAGTTGTGCCATGGCCCTTCGTCAGGACGTCCCTTTGTTGAGCAGAATCGCTTTGTCCCTCTATGGTCGTTGGTATGTTGGTGTTTGCTGCTGCCGTTGGCCCGAGGTGGCGATGGACGGGGAATCAGTCTTCCTCGTATGTAGATAGTCGTTCGGATTATACACTGCTGCTCAGAAGAGGGCTCGGATTATACACCACTGCTCACCTATGTACCCTGTCTCGATGTGGAATTATGCCCCGAGCCGGGAGCTTGCATGGCTCGATGCTCGAAGAAGTGTATTTGAAGTAGCCGTGCAAGTGGGGCTGAGGGTTGTTCGGTCCGTTGTCTTTCTGAGGCTCCCTTTGCCAAAGAGGGTCCTCGAGCTTCGGAGAGCTATTGCGATTTTTCATTCCTTCCTGCTCCTTCCACCTTCTTTTTCGTCTTCTTCTCTAATGTGCTACATTGAGGGACTGGGGCGAGGTTGTTGAAGGCATGCATTCAAGGACACAATGCTTGAATATTCTATCACCGGCGGTATGCCTTCAAGGGTAGAATAGGTTTTTAGGCCTTTTCTTCATGTATCCCTCTTTTGCTTCTGCGTGGGGACCCTTTGTAAGCTTTTGTAAACGTATGCTATGACCCTTCAGGGGTTGTTGTATATGAATTTTTATGAATATGAACATATCCTTTTGATCTCTGCTTTCGATTTCTACCGAGTAACTGCATTTTTTTGTACCCTCGAGGCCCCTTGAACGCCCCTTTTTACTTCTCGACTGTTGATACTTGGCCGGGGTGCAAGCATTCTCTCAGCTCCTCTACTGATCGAAGCGGGCTCCCTTTCGAGGCCATTGTTGTTCCTCGGGCAACCCTGGGTTGATTGGTTAGATCTGGGCTGCCTAGGCCTTCTGAATCGCATGGAGATAATGCGTTTGAACTTCGGGGCCTTTGAGGATGTTATCTTGGATGGAGGCCGGCTTTGGGTACCTCGGGGTCCCTTTTGATTTCCAATGTGGACAGCTTCCTTTAGATATGTAGGAGATAGGTTTTGCTGAGCGGTTGCCTACGCTCAGGCACCGCTTCGAACCTTTTCGGAGCTTTCGCGATTGGATCTCCTTTCATTGAGTGACGGCATGGAAAGCTTCACAAATTCTGGTTTCTCTTTGGTGGGAATCCTCGAGGCGGGATGCCATCCCGAGCTTGGAGATAATGCGGATGGTTCCTTGAGTCTTGGGTTCTTGTCTGAGGATACTTTCAGGGTCGGATATCATCCCGTTGGACTATATCGACGTCGTGTATTCCCCGGGGCTGACTCCGAGCAGGCGAAACGTTGCCGTTTCTTATTATATAAGTGGGGCGGCTTCGGCTTCTTCGTAGGATTTCATTATTTTGAGGTAGTTGTGCTCCTGCTTTGGCATAGGGTTCCTTATTTCCCTAGGTGCAAGAAGTGTTGGTGCGCGCCCTTGCTTTGCTCTACTTAGTATTACCACAGTCATGTTAACCACTCTGGGGGCGGCATGGCAGAGAGCGAAGAGTGCTGCTCCCGACGCTCGGGAGCTGAGGGATTTCGTTCTGACGACGGTTTCTTTGATAAGAGGGGAGCATTTGGAGATGGTGAGAAAATACTGTGGATGGAGTGAGGGGGTAGCGCTGTAGGTGCTTCCTCCGGGAGAGAACGTTACGGATTCCGCTGACAGTTTTTTGAGTGTATACCTGTATCCTTTCGCGTTTGGACCCCTCGACAGGGTTGTGCTTGAAGTATCGGGTTACTTTGGCGCAGATACATCCTTCATTTTGGCGGGTGGTGCTGATGATGAGGTTCTTTCCGGAGTAGGCCGATCTCGAATTTACGCTCGATCACCTCATCCGGCTGTATCGACCCTTTCATCATCAGGGCCTGCTAACCCTGAAGTGTCGTTCATCCCCGTCGTTTGTTGTCGATGACGAAGAGGAGGGGGGTCGCCAATGGGCCAGTTGGTTCATCCGGGCCCGGACAGTCGACATCATCCCCTCAGAGCTTTTGTCGTTCCCCGAAGGGTGGAATTACGCACATGAGTGGAGCGTCCGATGCTTTTTAAGGTTGTACCTATAGCGGAAGTTAGTTAAATAATGGTGCTTTTTACCTTGTTGTGTCAATTTCATGGACACCAGGCGAAGTCTCCGATCTTCCCGGCTAGGTCCGGAGGCTGGTGACCCATTCGTCTTGCGACGAGCGTCGGTGGCGAGCTGTGCTCCATGTCAGGTGGGGAGCGAAATACCAAGGTATGTGCGCGTGCTGCCTTTGCCTCGGCCCTCATGTATTTGAGGTAACATTTTTCCCCTTTTTTACTTGCATTGGATCTGTTGTTTGCAGGTATTGGGTAGTTCTTTGGGATGAGACAGTGTTCTTCCGAACAGGGGAAGGAGTCGTTGACCTCTCTCCCTGCACTTCGAGGCGATGGAGCTTCTAGTGGTGCTGACCATGCCAGTATCTCCAAGGAGAAGGCATTGTCTGAGTCTGCTGCCCCCGGGGTACCTGATTCTAGATCGTCGATGCCTTCGAGCGGATATGCTTTTCCCGAGACCAGCTCTCCCGGGGGCGAAGGGACAGGATCAACAGGAGTATGCTCCGACTTCGAGGAAGTCCGTCGACTTCACTTCTTGGTGAGTTTAGGCGCAGTTTCCCTGTATTCCGCGTCCTTCGTTCGTCATTGAGTTTTCCTTGTGTAGGCGTGTCACAGGCTGATGTCTGAGCTGGTCCGGCAAGGGGCCAAGTTTCAGAAAGTTTGGGATGAGGGAGAATCTCTTAGGCTGCATAGTGAGGAGAAGGAGGGCGAGTTGCTGTATTGGCGATGCGAAGCGGACAGGTGCTCGAATTATGAGAGTTATTTGACGGAGCAGGTAACTTTAAGCAGCCCAAGCTTCGCTTTCTTCGGCCTTTTTAGGTTAACGCCCTTCTCTGTTATATCAGCTGTAGAAAAAGACGGAGGCCATGGAGCACCTTAAGGGAGATATTGATCGCTCTAGAAACGCTTGTGGCGAGCTAAGGGCTCAGGTGCAAGCTCGTGTTTTAGAGGAGGCAAGTGCCTTGGCCAAGGTTCCTGCCTTAGAAGTCCAACTGTGCTTGGCTCGAGATAATGCCAAAATCTAAGCAGATGTGATCGAGAAATTGGAATCCGAACTTTCGAAGACCAGGGCCGAGGTAATTGATGCCCGGGCTAGGGCGACGCTAAGCCGAGCCAACGCTGATCAGGAGATGGCGGTCCGTATGAAGGATGCCGCGGACGCTCAGGCCGAGCTGAAGCGAGCCCTCGACCGGGAGAAAAAGATTGGGGAATACGTCCGTTGCAGATCCCTAAGGGAAGCACTCGAGGAGATTGGTGCGAGGGGCTTTATTCTTTCCGATGAATTGGACCGAGCAAGGGCGGACGAGCGTGACGTGTGGTCATTTCTTGCCGGCGGGGCGGGGAGTGAACCCGGCGAGCTGTAGCTCTTCGGAACGGATCATAGATTGTGCCGTTTTGTTGCTTTGTTTTTGATATATGTAGGACATGTCTGTTTATGGAGAGTGTGTCTATTCCCCCTTTTTCCGATGTGTGCGTGAGATAAGAAGATACTTTGAAGCCTTACTTTTTCCGCATCTCCTTCTATTATCGTCTTCGACCAGGCCGGTTTCGATGTTTGGCGTGATCCTCACAGGTCCGGGATCAACTGGGCCAGCCCTAGGCTCCTAGGTGTGGTTCTTGATGTGAGCGAGCGTTGCGGTCCCTGCGCTTTGTCCAGCCGTTTAGATCCAGTCTCTGAGTCGCTTTGCGAGTCGAGATGTTACGGGCCTTTAAGCTATTCCCTGTTCGCACGGGCGGGTGATGGTGGCCTTCTTTGCTTCGGGTCGAAATGACCTTATAAGCGAGTGACCCGAGGGCTCACTCGGCTAGCGATCGTGGCATTTGTGTCGTGCCCTTAGGCATGCTGTAGTTTTGGGCTTATTGTGGGTCCAGTCTCCGAGTTGCTTTGCGAATCGGGCTGTAATTGACCTTTACGTGCCTTTCGATTTCCCGAATGGGGTGGTGCTTTTCACGTGGTTTTTGGTCGTTGAGACCTTTCCGTATGTGGCCCGGGGACATACTTAGTTAACTATTTTGGATCCGGTCTCCGAATCGAGTTACAATTCGAGCTCACTTTAATCCTCAAGTTGTCAATTTGGCTGGCGACAATGGCTCTTACGCTTTTTGGTCGTAGAGACCTTTTGATATGTGGCCCGTAGGTTTGCTTAGTTAACTATTTTGGATCCGGTCTCCGAATCGAGTTACGATTCGAGCCCACTTTAATCCTCAAGTTGTCAATTTGGCTGGCGACAATGGCTCTTACGCTTTTTGGTCGTAGAGACCTTTTGATATGTGGCCCGTAGGCTTGCTTAGCTAGCGACAATGGCTCTTACGCTGTTTTTGCCCGTGGGCTTTTTGTAGGCTTTGTTTTCCGCTCGTTAAGGTCTTTTTGAAAGATTTTTGCCTGAACCGTCGTCGGTTCTAAAAGAACCTCGATTTCAAGTCGTAATCGTCGATATTTCGAGCACCTCGGAAGGTTCATAGCCCGTTGTTTCCCTGTTGAGGGAAGCCTGTTGTAAGCGGTTCTTTCCGAAGTACATTCGAAGTAATGGCCTGCAATTTTTTGTTTAGCGATGGTCGGGCATCCCCGAGTCGCATTTTTTTGGCTGTATCAGCCGTTTTGATCGTAGTCACATGCGTTTGGCTGTAGCAATTTTTGATCCCGAGTGATAGTTTAGGCGTCCACATCGAGGGTATGCCCTTTCAGGATTCTTACAAATGCGACGTATAGCCTAAACTTCGGGATTTTCATGCTTGTTGAGGTCTTACATTTTGTCATGCCTGTTGAGGTCTTACAGTTTTGGGTGATGTAGAATGGACCTGGTTATGCCGAGTCTGCCCGTTAAGGGTCTTACAGTTTCGGATTTTCCAACATATGGCGATTGACGACAGTCTCCGAGTCTTCAAGTCGTTTAAGCGTGAAGACCGCTTCTTGTGAGCTCGGAGTTAC